TGTAGCTCCAATGCAGTGATCAATCAAAGAGCTTTTAAAGTATTTAGCTGCTGAGGTAAAACTGCAATAAAGTTTCATTTATAATCAAAAATAATAGTTATAAATCATTTAAAAAATTTTATTTAAAAAGAAGACTAGACAGTACTGATTATCTCTTTATTAACACAGTGAGCAAAAGAGGAAAATTAACTTATTTTCTGTGAATAGAAATAATTTTTATAAGTTAGTTTGTATCATTCAAGATTAAGATTAGATTTTTACTTTAGTACTGAAGTACTAAATGGCTTATAATTTTATTTTTTTTTACTGGTAAAGTAAAAGAGTTACTTTAAGTAAAGGATTTCAATCAGTAGCTAAAGTTCAACCAGAGTCCCACAATAACAGTAACCAGAATGTAAAAAGATGGAAACAGGAAATAAACGACCAGAAACCAAAGCACTTCCTGTGGGGAAGATGTAATATTTATTAATTTCTTTTTTGTAGTTTTGTAGTTTTGCTAAGTTCTCCAAGCTTAGAAGAAAGTTTACGCTACCGCCCAATTCCCCCCAGCGCATCCCTCCGATTAACCTTTTCAAGAGTTGAACAAAGAAAAGTCAAAGGCTTAAATTAAACAAAATTAATTCTCTAAATCACAAAATTACCACCATTCAAGTATCGTTACTTTACGTTTAGTTGTTTAGCCTTCTGTGTGGCAGAATTCAGCATCACTATCAATACATTTATTTAAAGAACTCTTTTAAATCAGGTAATTTATTCCACCAATGAAATTGCAATTACACTGGGTGACCCCTAGGGGGCACGCCCAGCCCCACTTAGGAAACTACAGAGTTAGAATATAAAAAAAAAAAACCAAATGGTTAAAAAAAACGTTTTGCACTTAAAACAGTACTAAAAAATAATTATATAACAAAGGAAAATTAAGTAAACTAAATGAGTGGTGGCCTCTGTAATATAAAAGTGATACTTAAACTCAGTAAATGTTAATTCTGATCATTATGCGATTTGTTTTCATGTGACAGAAATATTTTCATTTACTGACATTTATGTTAGAACAATTTTTATGAGGGTTAATCTCTGAAAGGAAACGCCTTTGGATGCTTTGTTAATTATTTCCAAATGTTTATCTTTTAATCAATTGTTCTACTGGAACTGGTCTACTGATTTAAAGTTTCCTACTGACATATAAAACCACGACCTTGACAAAAGGTCATACATGTAAAACAAGAAAACAAAAGCAAAAAAAAACAAGCAAAAACAACTAAACAATAATAGACACAACTAAACTAAATAAAAATCCCTCTTTTCTCCCTCACAGCTGTATCATGGTGTGTTGTTAATTTTAATTTAGCATTTCAGATTAGTAAAAAAATAAATAATAAAAATGTTAAGACTTAAAAGAAAAATTAGTTTGTTTGGGTTGAACTCTCTGCAGGAACCACTGCACTGCAGAAACGGACTAATAAGTAAAGATTTCTTAGATTAATTGTATTTACCCTTAATTTAAGTAGGTAAATAATATGATTTGCCAATGGAATGAGTATTTATACTCTTAAAATAAGATAGATATTATGCACTTGAAATAAGATAATGCAATTGTTTTTTTCTTATTTTAAATTGTTCAATTGGCAAAGTGTCTCACTTACCTCCTCAATTCAAGAATAAGGTTCTTATTATAAGAAAAAAATGACTTATTTAGAATCGTAGTTTTTGTAGTGTGAGAAAATGATATCCCATGAAACCTCAGGTGTTCCCAACAAAAGAGGGGGTGAGGAGGGCATCCCAATGATGTTTAGAAGTTTTATGTAACCTTCTTATTTATTTCATCTGAGGATTCTTTAAATGTGTGACGTTTCATATTTTTACAGCATTATTTGCTTTCTCATGCTGCTGCTTTGTTTCCTCCAGCAGTATCTTCTTTCTCTCTGTCTTCTAACCCCATTATCCTAATGATTTATTAAACATAGCGGAGGAACTGAAAGGCGTATTAGATAACAGGCTAAATGTTTAATCAGGGATCCGGTACCAGCAGGGATGACCTGTTTACCTTTTCCTAACTCTATAATCTATCAGAACTTACCGGTTCTGTGTTCTTCGTACTTTAAACACTGGTTTATTTTTTGCTATTAAAATTATTTCTTTAAACATATTTTTTTTGTAAATGATGCACAAGTTACTCAGGAAAAGTCAGGATGATGCACCGTCCCATGACCGACTTTCCATGACGGCCTTGAACATGTCAGAGTCACCTGAGGAGCTCGCTCTCTGTGACGCTGCTGCTGCATTTCACCTGCTCCGTCCTTCAAATGCAGTTTCCTCTGTGACTCTGAGTCTTAACTGCCTTTCTGCATTATTCTAAAGCTATGGAAAATTTTTGGTTGTATCAGGTAGAAAAGCACGAGGAGGAGCAAGCCAAGCAGAAGGAGCGGATGGATCAGAGCGCTCAAAGTGAGGTGAGGATGGTCTGAACTCCTGAGGTTCTGATGCTGCCTGATGATGCTTTTTATGTGGAGAAAATGTTGTTTCTACAGATAAATTAGTCATTTAGTTTTCTTCAAACCACATTACTTCACAGTTGATCTCCTCACATTTGGGGGTAAATTATTTCTGGATTCATCCTTTTTGGTTTTTCTTAATTAATTTTTGTTTCTTTAGGAGAAATAAAGGAAGATATGAAAACTTTTTACCTTTTTTACATCAGTGGCTGAAAACGTATTCAAGGAATTACTCAAGTAAGAGTAAAAAAGTATTTCATAAAAAGCTCCTTAAGTACTGAGTAACTGATCATAACGTCTGATATTTAAAATGATGTAATAAAGAAACAAACACGTAAAGTTGCATGAAAATTCTTTTCCAGACCAATTTTCTTTTTATTATGAAACTTATGAAACCAGTTCCTTCTGTAACAATATTTGCTTCTTAGTGGATATTGGCTTCAAATGTTTTTTTCTTCAGTAATCGTAGCTATGTTTGATTAAGATATTACTCAATAAAAATAGAGTGCAATAAAACTTTAAGTAATATAACTAGTAACTGTGACTATTTGTATTTTAAGCTCTAGAAGCATCTACTCACTTTATTTCTTACACTTACGTAGATCTGTTTCCAGATCCAAACTAAATAATTAACCACTGATCATGTGACGGACAGCTAACATGTTTCCAAAATAAAGCAGCGGCTCTTTAGGCTTTAAGATGTTTTTTGTCTTTTCCATTTAGAACACAAACATTTGGAAATAGACCATAGGTAAATCTTGATTATATTTGTAGCATAGGTTCGATATATGAGGGAAGGATTAATTTAATTGGACTTAGGAAATATATATTTGCACGTTCTCCTTGTGAATCCTGAATACATCCCAACCTTTTTGCTGTTTCTGTATTTATAATGATCGAGTATTGAATAATTTAATTATTAAATTTTTGGTGTTATATTTTTAATACATTTTTCTAAATTATAAATACTTTTAAAAATTTCAAATTAATTCAGTTTATTTATATAGCTCCAATTCACAACACACGTCATGTCAAGGCACTTTACAGTTCACCAGGTCATATAGTCCAAGTTGTTTTTTTGGAAAATCAAATTTGCCTTTTAAATCATCGGATGACATCTGTGTCTAATTGTGATAAATGTCTGGTCACCGGTTCAGTCATAATTGAAATCTGTAGTTCAGCTCCTTTAGAAAGAAAGTCTTTTTGACAAAAACCAGCAGGGTTGATTGAAAAGTTGACCAAAATGTAGAGACTCTGCCATCTTTTATTTATTTGCTCATCGGCGTAGAGGGAAGAAAACTCAACTTCTTACCCAAGTATTTAAATCCTTAAGTGACAAGAAGGATAGCTGAGACTTTACAAATCTTCGTCATTAACATTTAGAAACAAAGAATTTTGCCTTTCAGTAAAATTTAGAGCATCACAGCCCAAAGGGACCTAATAGCCGTTAGCACCAACCTTTCATCCCCTCAGACTTTGCTTTAATGCATTTTTAGGATTTTAATTTGTTTGGTTAAAATACAACCAGTTCATCTGACTGTCCAGCTAAACTGGCTCATCAGGCAAGGAAAGCTCTGATCAGAGCAGCCAGGAGGCCAACGGAGGAGCTTCAGAAGTTCTCCAATAACAATGACAACTGGAAGGTACTTCTGACTAGAGACCAAAGAGGATCTGTTTGCATGCAAAACGTTTTCAGTGAAAAATGAACTCAGCGCTCCACTGGAAAAAAGTTGAAATCTAAATAAGTCATTTTTTTCTTAAAATAAGTGCATTTGCTCTTGGATTGGGGAGGTAGAAGAGACATTTTGCCAATGGAACAAGACAATTTACTCTTAAAATGAGAAAACACAATTGCATTGTCTTATTTCAAGTGCATGTTATCTAATTATCTTATTTTAGAGTAAAACACTTATTCCATTGGCAAAATATCTCATTGACATACTCAAATTAAGGGTAAATAAACTTAATTTAAGACATTTTTACTTATTTCTAGATCGTTTTTCCAGTGAACACGCCAAGCCAGGGCCAGGCATGTGGTGGCAGCATCATGCTGTGGGCTGCTTTTCTCCAGCAGGATCGGTAAAGCTGTGGACTGACTTGCTGAGCCAAATACAGAAACCAAAGAAGAAAACCTGCAGACTCAATATCCTTGTGATCAGTAGGCTTAATCTCAGTTTATCTGGAAGTTTACCTATTTTTCCTTTTTGAGTTAGGCTCCAGAAACGTTCAACTTTGCCTCCATTTTTGTCGTTTCTGTGTTGTGGGAAAACCTTTGAGCTCCACCTCTTTCAACCTTCAGCCTAAAACACCTTCCTGTAGTAAAATGTGGAGGGAGTTTGATTGGAAGACAAAGACTGATTCTTTAAGAATCATTCCATGGATTCTAAATTTGTAGATAACCCAGCTGCAATGTATTGTTGGAGAGGATGTGGAATGGTTGGGGACCATTCACACATATTTTGGGACTGCGCAGCGATGCTCCCTTTTTGGAAGGGGGTAATGAACGAGATAAAGTATGGGGAATTAATATGTTTACCCCAAGTCAGATTCCTTTTGGTGCAACTCCTGAAGGCATGTACACCAGAGACCAAAAGCACGTGTTACACATACTCTTGGTTAGTTCTAGGAAAATGGTGACAATAAAATGGATGAATCCACATCCACTTACAGCGGCACGAAGGAAACAGAAGCTGCAACTAAGAACTGATGTTTTGAGGTGGCTACGTTTAACAAGATACCTCTCAAACTGAGGGGATCTCCACAGTATCCTGAAATGTCTTAAATGCTCACTTATTTATTTACAGTTTCAGTCATGTGCAGCCTATTACTAAGCTCTCTGGGCCCAATGGGTGTTTATTTGTTTCCTTCCTTTTGCACTGTCATACATAAATATTGATGCCGTCAAGGAATGTTTGTTTGTATTCTAATAAAAAAGTTTAAAAAACAGCTTCCTGGTTGTCTCTCTGCAGTCGCCGCGCTCAGACCCGCCTTCCCCTGCAGGAGCAGAGTCCTCCAGCAGGCTTCTTCAGGAGGAAGGCCTTCGGGTGTCTCCATCCCGAAAAGAGGTGCGTTCTGTATAAAACTGTTTTTTGTTTACGTTCACTTTGTGTTAGATTGACAAAATATAAACACTAAGCATCTTTTAACTCTTATTCACAGAACAGGAAGAGGATTGCTTCCTTCCCCACATATGTAGAAGGTGAGTGGGAACAGTTTCCTCTCAGCAGGAAAAAGGTTTAAAACAAAAGAAAGTGACGAGATAAATACCTGCAAAGAAGTGATTCAGTCAATTCAGTTTGTCTACATTCAATCGGACAAACAAACTTTGTGACTGGTTCAAAAAAGTTTTTATTTATCATAACCAAAAGGAGAGATTTTTGTAGAAAAACTGCTTTTATTTTTTTCCATTCATTGCATTCAAACAAAAACATAAAGTCCTATAAACTAAATGAAATGGAGCAGAAAGAGGAATAACCTCATGTTATCTCCACCCTGATCTAAAGCTAAAGATGAACAAAAAAGTTCCAAATACAAAAAGCATCAAAAATGTCAGGTTGGGTGGAGGTTTGAAAGGAGGACCTAAATGCAGAGACTGAAGCTGAAGGTGGTTTCTTGCAAGTTTCATAACAAAAGTGGTAACTGAAGCAGAATCCAAACTAAAAAAAATCCACAAAGTCTAAAAAATACTTAAATCCAGAAAAAACTTACATGAATGGGAAATTAATGATGACAAACCAGCAAACAGTAACTGAACAGGAGGTGCATATATGGGAAGAAACAAAGACCAGGCTAATCAGCAGATTGGGAGCAGGTGTGGACAGAGGAGTCTAGAAGGGAGCTAGGAGAAGGAGACTGACACAAGAGGGCAGCAGAGGGCAACAAGAAATGCCTAAGAACTAAAATACAATAAAAAAAAACTAGAATAACACAAAATGGAAATAAAACCAATGAAAATTCAAAAATAAAACTTAAACACAACCAAAACCATGACAAAAACACATCTAATAAAAACATAATAAAAGGAAATATCTGTCCTCCAAACCTGATAATTACGTATTTTTACTTTAGGTTATTTTCTGCATACTCTTTAACCAAAACATTGAACATTAACATGATTATTTATTTTACTTCCCAATCGGTTATAGATGGCATTAGGGCTGCAACTAATGATTATTAAGCTAATCGATTGATCTTGTTTATTGTTTTTATTAATCAATTAATAATTAGATATAGTCAAATGTTCCTTTAAAAAAAAGTCTTTCACAAAATTAAACCAAATGAAACTAAAACTTTTCCACCTAAGGAGTTCTGGATAGAGCAGATTGACAGACGAAAAAGATTTTTATCTTTAATGCAAAATGATTACTTTTTCTTTTGGTATAATTACTGCTCTAAATGAGTCACTCCTTCAGCTCAAGACACATTGTAGAGTCTCTATACTCCAGTTATTGATAATCAATTTACTAAATTTGTTACAATTATTGAAATAATTAATTAATCCCATTAATTGTTTCAGCCCTAGCTGGTATGTTCAGCGAGCAGAGCTTCTCTGATTGTTCTTTAATCAATTGGTTTCTTTGGTGAGGCTGTTCATAAACTTCTTCTTGCCACACAAACACAGAGCTCCACTGATTTTGTTATAATTTTGGGCTTTTCAAAGATTTCAGGTTCTTGTTGTGCTTTAAACCTTATAGAAAAAAAACTGTAGTCTACTTATTTTTAAAATGTCACAAATTTTTACTGAAAAAGTGGTGGATGCTCATTTCTCGATTGTGTTTTTAGTTTTTAAAATCTGCTTGGTTATCTAGTGAATACTTTAAGTGACATCATAACTGCCTTTGATAGTTTTACTTTTGTATGATTTATATGTTATTTTCAGCTTAAATTATCATCAAGCATGATGCCCAAAGACCTAAGCTCCCTTATTCGAATCTGTGCTGGGGCAATTAATTAATTGATTTTGCAAAACAATCACAATTTAGAAAAATGCCATTTTCAAATCGCAGAGACTCTCAATGTTTAATAACAATCCATTTAACAAGACAAATACACTAAATTTCTCCCTCCAGTCCTTTAGGTGGCGGGAATATGATTAAAGTAGGCATGCTGTTGCACAGAAGATAATGCTGCTGATTTCCTTTTTAACCTCATTCTGCAACTGTTATGTCTTTCCCAGAATAAAATAAAGCAGTATCATCTGCTCTATTGAAGGGCTTCAATTTGCTCAGTTAGTGATGAAATGCAGTGGGATCTAAAGTGTCAGCTATCCGATCTTGTAAAATCTTGACTTTCCCAGTAGGTATTTCTAACTGGTTTCGGTAAATGCTGGAGTTTTCTCCCTTCTTCTCTGAGAAAGTGTTTTACTGCCAGTGAAATACACTGATACTGTTCTGGTGATGTTTCTCAGTCATCCGGGACTTTTGCAACGCTTAAAATAACCAAAGCCGATCAACCTGGGTTTGGTTTAAATAACTGAAAACGTGAGGGAAAAGAGGAAAAAGAAACAGACCGATCACACAGCTCTGTGGTACGCCGGTGCTGAGGGTCAGAGGGGGGAAGAGCAACGTAAGTTAAACTGAACGTGTTAGCGTGTTTTTTATGTCCAGCCGGTTGGAGGTGCTGATACTCAGGTCTGTGGGTTTGGTTGGATTCGTGAAGAGAGACTGAATGACTTAATTTCTCTCCAGTTCCTGGTCCCTGTGATCCAGAGGATCTGATTGATGGGATCATCTTTGCAGCCAGCTGTCTGGGCTCCATCCAGCTGCTATCAGAGAAGACTCCATCTAAGAACATTCGTATGATGCAAGCACAGGAAGCAGTTAGCAGCATTAAGGTAAAAATCCATCAGCAATCCTACAAAATCTGCTTTTAAGTAATGTTACAATTTGACCATATGTAAAAACTGCTCGACTTTAATATGAAACATGTTTTTTTCTAATGAATTCTTGATAACATCTAAATTAATTATTAGATACTTTTCATGGTTAAAGAACAGGTTTAGTTTTACATTTGTGGAACTATGAAAGATGAATATGCTGGTGAAGATTCATCCAGGTCATAGTCTTTCCAAAAAAGTAAAAGAAAAAGTTCAAATCAATCCACTGGACTTTGTTTTCCAAGTTTGAACACGTTTTGTTTCCCATCCAGGAAGCTTTTTCAATTCAGCCAAACCAAGTCTTGTTATGGCTTAGAAAACATGCAAATTGAACCAGGAGAACAGGTCCACCCCTTTAGTAATGGGAATGAGCAGCACCATGCAGGGGACCAAGACATCTGAATTGGTTAGCCAGGCCAACAATGACCCTAAAGACTCCCCTGTTCAGAGGCATAGTCCAGTATCAGGTATTGCAGGCTAACAAAGACCTTAACGATTCCCCATTACTAAGGGTTGGAACTGTTATTCGGGTTCAATTTGCATGTTTGTCATCTCATAACAAGGCTTTGTTGGGCTGCTCTATAAAGTTATTGTGGACCCGCCCTCTCCACTTAAAAGAAAATGCTCGTGCAATGGCATGCACAAGCCCATTTCTCCTCGTGCACGCTGTTTTTAAAAGTTGCTGCTCATATAGCTCAAACGAGCTTACTGTGTCCGAACGAACCCTAACCCCTAAATCCCTCTATCACTATATAGAGAGGGGACTATAAAAGCAACTTACCGTTCGGACAGATGATCACTTCCCCGTTAGTCACGTAACTCCTCCCCCACTGCACGGTGTCAGAGCCGGTTAGCGACTAAATATATCTGTTTATGGTATATCCCATAATACTTTGCGAGGAGAACTCTCCAAGCAAAGCATTCTGGGATATATGTGCTTCTTCTGAGGCCTTTTTCTTCTTACTTTTTCTCATACGACCCTCGACCATTTTCACAGAACCACAGCGCTACCCAGCTCTCCTCTTTTATATCCTGGTCTAACAGTTACTTTGTTCACCATAAACAGATTTTTTATCAATCAGGTAAAACTTCATCGGTCATTAAACACACTAACAGATGCTACGTGATGTTATAATCGTTGTCAGGGCAACCAGTATGTTTTTTATCATGCGGCACCGTTCAGCCAATCATGTAGCATAACGTCTGGTTCCTACACCGGCCTTACGTAAACATATCACCAGAATGATTGACAGTTAGGAGGACCACTTATTGAGATGATCCACCTGGAAATAAAAGGTCGTCCTCTAGCTTTAAACTGAATGCTAATCGACACATTTTTAATTGAAAAACCTTCCTAGATGGGAAGTGAAACGTCTTCAAACTTGGAAAACAAAGTCTAGTGTTTTTTTTTTTGTTTTTTGTTTTTTCTTGGTATGAAAGATGAAACACTCAAATCGTTTTGTAAAATAAATCAGAGCAAATAAATCTGCTTCATCCAGAGGGTTTTTCTCAAAATAACAGATGCTTTCAGTAAGAAGGTGGCGCCGGTTAGACCAAAATTAAAAACATAACTCTAAACACATGTTTCCCCCTTTTATTTTGTCTTTGAATGTTTGTTTTTTATAACTTCTAGCAGCATTTTGACTGGTAGAAAACAATATTTGATCTAAAATGTTGTTTATTTTGATTCGTTTTGGTTGTTTTAACCTTCTGGGTGGTGAAGATGGTTTAGGGGTACGTGTGGTTTGTTTCTGACCTCAGGCTGAGCCTCAGCCTGTAACGGAGGTGGATCTCTTCATCTCCACTCAGAGAATCAAGGTGCTCAACGCGGATTCCCAGGTAAGATCCAGCTGGTCGCTCATAACATGCTAACAGCATTTTACACCTATTCACCTCCACCTCTCATATATTGGTGAAGCTGAGATTAAAAGTTGCTGAGTTATAATAATAACCTCACAAACATTAGAAAATTAATCCAGTATAGGCAGTGGAAAGTAACAAAGTACATTTACTTGATTACTTTTGTTTGAGTATCTTTACTTTAAGTGAGTAATTTTTAGGGAAGCTGTTAGTTCCTTGTTCCTTTTGGCTCAGCTTAAATCCTCTGTTGCTGTTTTTCTTTCTTGAAATGTACTTCCATCATGGCGGATAGCAGCATTTGGGACTGAATCTGGAAACCACTGTTTTAGAGATTTAATGACGTTCCACAGATATGAGAAACTCAGAGCAGATATTATTAATAGTTTATAATTTTATTAAGGCGTTAGTTGTTGCCACGTGGCCAAGTTATTCAGTAGGATGAGTTCTCTAATTTCTTTGTGGTAATAGATTCAACTTTAATTAAAGTGTGAGGAGAATTAATACTCTCCTGTTTTCTTTTTGGTTTGTTTTTCATAAGAAATAATAGTCAAAATCCTTATTTTTTGCGGCCAATTTATGCTGAAGTTCTTTCCAGGTGGTGTAGAATCTGTAGCAGGTGGTTCTACACATCAATACAGCAGGTGGTTTCTGAAAGTTACAGGTTCTTTAAAATAACTCTGATAATTAGACAGAAATATACTGATATTAGAAAATGTAATTTGTAGTTTTTGAATACTTAAGTATTTTCAATTCAATTCAGTTTATATATACATAGCACCAATTCACAACACATGCCATCTCAAGGCACTTTACAGATACAATTCAACAAGATCATATAGTCAATTGATTGATTGATTCAAAGTTTTCAAAGGAAAACAAGTTGATTGCATCGAATCATTGACTCAAAGGCAATTCCTCACACTAAGCATGCTTGTAGCAACAGTGGAGAGGAAAAACTCCCTTTGAACAGGAAGAAACCTCCAGCAGAACCAGGCTCAGTGTGAGCGGCCATCTGCTGAGGCCCACTGGGGTTCAAGGAGACAGAAGCAGACATAGAAAAAGAAGCATAGATACAAAAGGCAACTGTCAACCAGCTCCACAGGCGGCCCCGTCCAGGAAACACACAGCCAGGCAGACGAGCTCCGAGCCAGCTCCCATGTCAAAGGATGAAGAGAGCACATCCAGTTAGTCACAGTCAGAGAAACAGGACTACACTGGAAAACAGGCTGATCTCCAACATCTAGAAACAAAGGTGTTGATGGCAGCAGCAGCACAGCTGATATTTCTCTCCAGGATGGAGTCAGAGTTAAAGTACATCAATATATTAACTAGATGTTTGACAGAGTAACTTTTACTTGTAGTTGAGTAAGATTTGACTATGATTATCAATACTTTTACTCAAGTACTATTGTTGAGAACTTCGTCCACCACTAAGTGTAGGTGACTGGATTGGGGGTTTTAGAGCGAGACGTGTGACCATGGTGGGACCCGGTGTTTCTTTACATTTTGAAGCAGATGTTAATCCCTCCAGATGTGAATGGTTGAAATTTCTTCCACCACACTGGAAAAAAAAATCAAAATCTAGATAAATAATTTTTTCTTAAAATAAGTGCATTTGTTCTTGGATTTAGGAGATAAAAAAGACATTTTACCTATGGAACAAGACAATTTACATTTAAAATAAGAAAACACAATTGCATTGTATTATTTTAAGTGTATATTATCTAATTATCTTATTTTACTTATTCCACTGGCAAACCATCTCATTTACCTATTGAAATTATGAGTATATACATTTTATTTAAGATATTTTCCTTATTTCTAGATCGTATTTCCAGTGCAGAACAAATTAATAATTGCAGGAATAGATCTAAAGGAAAACAACTTAATATGCACTGGAGGAAACTCTTCTCTTGATTAAAGATTTAATTTATGATCATGTTTTTTTTGGAGATCATCTTAAGGCATCCCACTTGGTATGTCCTGAAGCATGATTCTGAGATCACACTCCTTCATTTGGGAAACAGATGGAATATTTGATTCTTCCATCAGTAATAAGATCTTTTGTCGTTTTAAGGAAACTATGATTGACCATCCTTTGCGAACCATCTCCTATATCGCTGATATTGGCAACATTGTGGTTCTGATGGCCCGGCGAAGGTTGCCTCACTGTGACTCTCAGGAGAAGGTGGAGGTCTCAGACCCGAGTCAGGACAGCAAGCACCAGCACAAGATGATGTGCCACGTCTTTGAATCTGAGGACGTGAGTCTGACAACAGGTGTTTATGATCGGCTGGAAGCTTTGCTATTTCATCCTAAGTCTGGCGTTTCCCCAGGCCCAGCTGATTGCCCAGTCCATCGGCCAGGCCTTCAGCGTAGCATACCAGGAATTTCTCAGGGCGAATGGGATCAACCCCGAGGACCTCAGTCAGACCGAATACACTGACCTGCTGAGCACTCAGGACATGTACAATGAGGATCTAGTTCACTTCTCCAGGTCTGAAAACTGCAAAGATGTAAGTAAGAAATGAATCATTCAGGAGTTTTTTTTTTTATTCTATTTTTGTTGCTGGTTTTATATGAACAATCATTTAGTTTGGTTTACTGTAGGTGTTATCATCCTGACTTTAAATGTTGTATTTAAATGGTTTCTCTGATCTCAGGTGTTCATAGAAAAAGCGAAAGGTGAGATTCTGGGTGTGGTCATCGTGGAGAGTGGGTGGGGCTCCATTCTACCTACCGTCATTATTGCCAACATGATGCATGCTGGGCCAGCGGAGAGGTCTGGCAGAGTCAACATAGGGGACCAAATCATGTCCATAAATGGAACCAGTCTGGTTGGACTTCCTCTGTCCACCTGCCAGAGCATCATAAAGGTTTGTTTATGATATCTAACAGTCATTAAAGAAGGTATAAGTAGAACAGATATGTGGACAACCAGGGACGTCCAGAGATAGACACTAGGTGGTAACTCCAAAAAAGTAAAAAAACAATCCACTGGACTTTGTTTCCAAGTTTGAAGACGTTTCGCTTCCCATCCAGGAAGCTTTTTCAATTCAAAATATCAGAAATAGCGTTGAGTTCCAGGTTTTATACAGTAGCCTAGCAAAGCCTTTAGAAAACATACAAATTAAAGCAGATGAACGGATCCACCCCTTTGGAATGGGGGTCGTTTGGTCTTTTGTTAGCCTGCACACTGGAAAAAAAATCTAAATCTAGATAAGTCATTTTTTCTTAAAATAAGTGCATGTGTTCCTGGATTGAGAGGGTAAAAGAGACATTTTGTCAATGGAACAAGACAATTTGGACTTAAAATAAGAAAACACAATTGCATTGTCTTATTTCAAGTGCATTTTAACTAAATAGCTTCTTTTAAGAGTAAAAATACTCATTCCATTGGCAAATTATCTAATTTACCTACTCAAATTAAGGGTAAATACACTTAAGACATTTTTACTTATTTCTAGATCGTTTTTCCAGTGTGAAAGAGGGGTCATCGGAGACATAGACAGGTATGGGGCATTGCCAAACAAACCTCATTCCAAAGGGGGCGACCCGTTCGTCCGTTGCAATTTGCATGTTCTCTAAAGGCTTTCTTGGGCTACTGCATAAGAGCATCGAACTCACACTATGGACAGAGAATAATTGAAGAACATATAGAAACAATGTAAGATCAATAGGAGCAAGGAGGCTTAGAGGAAGAGGCTGAAAAGCGAGCTCCAGCAGAACAACATCAGACATGTGTGATTATGGATGAAGAAGACGTGGGATGACGGATGGAAGTCTGGACAGAGCAAATAAATTGAACACGTTCTTGAAAAGTTTCAGCTCAGGAACAAGCTCAGCATCAATCTCTTCAGCCCACAATCAAACGCACATCCCGCCCTCCTTAGACCCAAAGCTTCAAATGTGAGAGGATGTTGCTGCTTCTTTCTCCTCCATCCTGTCTGTCTCTAGTAAAGAGGTAGCAGGAGAACTGAAACTGAAACATAGAGCTGTTTCCTTCACATCCCACATTTTAGAGGTCCTAGAGACCCTTTGCAGCAAGCGGCCATCTTGGAATACAGCTGTGTAGCCACCATCAGTCCATATTTCTTATATGTGTTTATGCACTTTAAAATATTGAGCAAATCCTCCATGTTTTCCCTTAAACAGGGTCTAAAGAACCAGTCTGGGATCACGTTGAACATCGTGAGATGTCCTCCAGTGACTACAGTTCTTATCAGACGGCCGGACGTACGCTACCAGCTAGGATTCAGTGTCCAGAATGGCATTGTTAGTCTATTTCTATTATAGAAATATGTTTTCCAGTCTGGTAACTTTCTAGAATCGTCTGAAATAACTTCTACATCTGTCCACCAGGTTTGTAGCCTTATGCGGGGTGGGATTGCTGAAAGAGGTGGAGTACGAGTGGGTCACCGCATCATCGAGATCAACAGTCAGAGCGTGGTGGCAACTCCCCATGAAAAAATCGTCCAGATCCTTTCCAACGCTGTGGGAGAGGTGAGATGTTTCACAGACCGACTCCACTCAGAGGTCAAATATGCGCGGTGTTTACAGCTTAAAGGGAAAAGTTTAAGAGCACTGAAGCTGTTTTTAGCATCTCTTACATTAAAATAAACGGGTGTAAAGATATTTGCTGCTGTTTTTGGGATGTTAATTGTGCTCTCAGGATAAGATGAACTATGGTGGTGAAGATTCTCACTCATCCAGGTCATAGTCATTCCCAAAAAGTAAAATAAAACAATCCAAGTTACTCTATAAAGCTAGGAAATCAACACTAATTCAGACATTTACAATTAAAAAAAAGTTTCCTGGATGGGAAGCAAAACATCTTCAAACTTTTTTTTTACTTTTTTAGAAAAGATGAACTAAAATCCCACCACAGTACCTAAAAGGGATACGAAAGAGCATCTACCCCTCAGGATGTCTCCTGATTTTCCTATTTTTTGTCTCACTTAAATGTTTTCGATTATCTATAATATTAAAGACAGCTGCAGTAAAATCAGAAATCCGGTTTCAAATTATGATTTCATTCCTTAAGTAAAAGTGATCCATCAAAGCAAACCTGTGATTGGCTCCTGTACCGATGGCTGAACCTTCTTCTGCAGGATCTCTGGTAGAGACTCCAAGTATGGCTGCTGAATGCACTAATTAATTATTGAACTCGTGCAGGTATCAGCTGATACAGATACAAGAAAAAACACCAACATCAGCCAAAAGTGTCAACCAGGGAATGTTTCAGTCTCTGTTTCTGAATATCTACTATATCTGTACAGTAGCAGCCATTCAAATTCCTTGATGGGCCCTTGGCTGGTCCCCTAAGATTCCATTTTCAAACATTAAACTTTGTACTAAAATATTCTGTCATGATTTATGGATTTAGATCCAAAGAGAAGCATCATCTCCTGGTCAGACCCTGTATTTTAGTGAAAAGCTGGAGTCAGAGTAAAACAATATGCACGCCCAGGGGAAGAAGGGAGTCACTCCAGTGGCTGGAAGTTGGCTGCTATTCGGCTGCTGTTGACTGAGAAGGATTGTTTTGAATGGCTGCTTCTGTAGGTCAGCTAAAAATCTGTTTATGAAAGGGAGCTTTCTAAACTTATTTAATGGGTAATTAACTAAATCCTTATTTGAAAACTGTGTTTTTGTATTTTTCTATATATTAAAATTAGTTTTTATAATCTGGTGAAAAAATACAGTGGTCTGCAAAAGTTTGGGCAACCTTGTTAATTTCCATGATTTTCCTTCATAAATTGTTGGTTCTTAGGATAAAAAAAATCAGTTAAATATATCATATAGGAGACAAACACAGTGATATTTGAGAGGTGAAACGAAGTTTATACCATTTACAGGAAGTGTGCAATAATTGTTTAAACAAAATTAGGCTTGTGCATAAATTTGGGCACTGTTGTCATTTTTCTGATTTAAAAATCTCTAGAACCAATTATTGGAAATCAAAATTGGTTTGGGAAGCTCAGTGACCCTTGACCTACATGCACAGGTGAACCCAATTATGAGAGAGTATTTAAGGGGGGGCAATTATAAGTTTCCCTCCTCTGTGAATCTTCTCTGAAGAGTAGCGACATGGGAGTCTCAAAACAACTGTCACGTGACCTGAAAACAAAGATTGTTCACCATCATGAATTACGGGAAGGATACCGAAAGCTGTCTAAGAGATATCAGTTGTCTGTTTCGACAGTTAGGAACATAGTCAGGAAATGGAAGACCACAGGCACAGTTCAAGTTAAGGCTCGAAGTGGCAGACCAAGGAAAATCACGGATAAACAGAAGCGAAGAATGGTTAGAACAGTCAAAGTCAACCCACAGACCAGCACCAAAGACATACAACATGATCTTGCTACAGATGGAGTCATTGTGCATCGTACAACTATTGCGTGCACTTTACACAAGGAGATGCTGCACGCAAGAGTGATGCGAAGGAAGCCTTTTCTCCGCCCACATCACAAACAAAGCTGCTTGAGGTATGCTAAAGCACATTTGGACAAGCCGGCTTCCTTTTGGAATAAGGTGCTGTGGACTGATGAAACTAAAATTGAGTTATTTGGACATGACAAGGGGCGTCATGCATGGAGGAAAAACAACACAGCATTCCTAGAAAAACACCTGCTGCCTACAGTAAAATTTGGCAGTGGTTCCATCCTGCTGTGGGCCTGTGGGGCCAGTGCAGGGACTGGGAATCTTGTTAAAGTTGAGGGACGCATGGATTCCACCAAATATCAACAGATTCTGGAGACCAATGTCCAGGAATCAGTGACAAGGCTGAAGCTGCGCCGGGGCTGGATCTTTCAACAGGACAATGACCCTAAACACTGCTCAAAAACTACTAAGGCATTCATGCAGAGGAACAAGTACAACGTTCTGGAATGGACATCTCAGTCCCCAGACCTGAATATTATGGAAAATCTGTGGTGTGACTTAAAGAGAGCTGTCCATGCTCGGAAACCCTCAAACCTGAATGAATTAGAGGTGTTTTGTAAAGAGGAATGGTCCAAAATACCTCCAACCAGAATCCAGACTCTCATAGGAAGCTATAGGAAGCGTTTAGAAGCTGTTATTTTTGCAAAAGGGGGATCTACTAAATATTGAGTTATTTTTTTTTATTCTGGTGCCCAAATTTATGCACATGCCTAATTTTGTTTAAACAATTATTGCACACTTCCTGTAAATGGTATAAACTTTGTTTCACTTCTCAAATATCACTGTCGAAACAGACAACTGATATCTCTTAGACAGCTTTCGGTATCCTTCCCGTATTTCATGATGGTGAACAATCTTTGTTTTCAGGTCA